TTGTTAGATTTTTCTACCTGGATTACTGAGCATGCATCAGGACATTTTAAACTATATTTTATAATGATCTTGTAGAAACAGTTCCTGAATGTTGTTCATATCATGTTAATGCTACTTTTGTCTCTTGACCCTACAACTGGGTAACATTACAGTAGATCTAGCCCCCTACTGGAGTTTTAATTAGGTATTTTAAGCTACTAATAAACATGATGGATGATGATCATATAGCTTTATGCTAGGCCATTGGTAAGAAGGAGTGATTATTATTATTGTTTCATATTGGCTAGTGATTTTTTCCAATAAAAGTTAACTAGGCCTACACTGTGTTTCTTAGACCGTGGTTAGGATGTGGGAGAAGTGGAGTGTAGAATCTATTCAAAATTTTCTGGGGGAGGACCCCCAGACCCCACACATTACAAATACTACTGATGCCAATGGCCACTGCATTGTTCAAGCCATGAGCCATTGTCAGCACTGGGGGCAAAGCACCCCCAAGAGCATATTCTAGAATTGTCCCTGACTGGCTTGGCATTTTGACATTTGTGCGCCTAAGCGTTGTGTTGTGTGTTCAGGTATCAGTATTATTGGCCTCAGTAAACCTTGGTCTCACTGCTATTTGCGTCCCCGAATTGTTTGGTTTACAGCCACTTATGAGCTTTTTAATATCGCTGCCCCTTGAAGTAAGCTACCTGGCTTTAAAAAAAATATCCGACCCTAATTAAAAATACAAAAAATATAAGTAAACAGCACAACTACATTGCAAATCAGTTTGATAGTTTAAGTGGGTTATTAATAAAATTTTGAGTACTTTTCGAAAATCCAATGAGAGAAATGTTTGATGTGTATTATTCACATTACATCACATGTCAAAACAACGGCACTAATTTGTCAAAATAACAGCGACTAAAATGTCAAAAAGACAGTTCAATTTACTTTTATTTTTAAAAAAGTCTTCTAATTGTCCTTAGTTGGACAACTGAGAATTGAAGCACCTGAAGGCAGTGGTAATCGAGATAGGACCAGGAGCGAGCGAGTGGTGAGGGCAGTGGTGGCTGGTGGAGTTTTCTCCAGGGGGGGCTATGACTCTAAAATAGACACATACTGTATTTATCGCTGTACAAGTCACGTTCTTTTTTGCATAATTTACTTGCCCTGCAACTTATAGGCCGAAGCGACGTATTTATGGATTTTTTCCTATATTTATAAACCAATTTTCGGCTGAGATATGACCGTTTTCATTAATTCTGACTGAAATAAATCAAACACTACCATTTTCAGCCACTAGATGGCAGCAGAGTAGTAAGGCATGCCGTTGTATCATGTAATAGGTAAAAGTGGCTATTAATGACAAATTTAAAAAAGTTCAAGACAAAAACAACTGGACTTTATTTATTATACTTTATTATTTTTGTTTTGAACTTTTTTGAATTTCCTATGTCCTGTATGACTGAGAATCTTCACCAGCTATTAACGACACAATCAGCTTGCCATAGCCTGCTACCTTCGTTCTGCTCGCTGCTTGGAGCAACCGTCAAATCAGCTTCATTTCGCTGCACTACCCCGGCAAAATGCAGCTAATTTGACCATTGAAGTGCATTTATTAAGTAAAAGTTCAACAGAGACACACCTTTGCTATAAAGTCGAGCAAACAAATAATTATTTTTAGGTGTTTATCTTGAAAATTTCGAAGAAATGAACAGCAGCTCGTCCATCTGCGCATGCTTGCTTATGCCTATCAGCTTTTGAAGTGCAGCTGATTTGACTGTCAAAGTGCATTTATTAAGCAAAAGTTAGACTGAGACACACATTTACTATAATTTGGAGCAAACAAATAAATGTTTTTAACTGTTAATCTTGTTAAATTCTTGTTAAAGTCCTTCCGTGCACGCTCCCGCGGCCGCCATTAGTCAGCCATTAGTTTAGGGCGGCTGTGGCTGAGTGGTTAGAGCAGTCGTCCTCCAATGCGAGAGTTGGGGGTTTGAATCCACCAGCAGTCACATGCCGAAGTGTCCCTGGGCAAGACACTGAACCCCTCATAGCCTCTGATGTGTGTCCCATCAGTGTATGAATGTGATAAAGCTCTGATTAGTCTCTTTAGAATGATTTGCTCAATTAGCTTTGTAGAGATCTAGCAGAGTGCTGTGTGAATGGGTAAATGAGGACACAGATTGTAGTGTGAAGCGCTTTGAGTATCTTGAAATAAGATAGAAAGGCGCTATATAAATACAGTCCATTTACCATTCAGCCCATCGATTTTTGGCACACCGGCCCACATTTCTGGGTTGTCAGCTGTGACGTTAAACAAACGCGACGCGTCAGTGGTGACACATAATAGATGCGACGTATATGGTGAAGCGACATATTTATGGATTTTTCCACTTTATTAGACAAATATGGACTGATGCAACTTATAGGGTGATGCGCTGTGTACATTGGAAAATACGGTATATAATATATAGACACATTATATAATTATATATATATTTCTCTCTCTTTTTCCTAAACTGGGTACCTGATGGGCACCGGCGACCCCCGTGACCCAAAATGGAATAAGCGGGTAAAGATAATGGATGGATGGATGGGTACCTGATGGCTTTGACCTGTTCTTCTCCATCTTCTATGCGTGTAAATGGCACTTGAGCAGAGGAGGTTATCCCCACCCATCCCTAAACATGAGTTAAAGCAACTTAGGCCTAAACTCCTTCCTTTGTGTGCAGATTCATTTTTATATTATTGTTTCAGCCATTTCACACAAATAATCTGTGAACTATTGGCTATATTCACAATTTTATGAATGAAATGTGCTTTGTTTGGGAGCCATCAATGGTGTGATTTACTTAGCAATTCGACGCATCCCTGTCCCAGCAAGAGAGACCAGTGAATCCTCCTCCCCTTCTTTCACAGTCTGTCGACCTCAGCAGAAGCTACACAACCTGGTGGAGGGCGCCCACTCCCCACAAGTGGGCGAAACCTATATGAAGGCTAGACAGGCTATATGAAATAATGTGTTTTATTTTATTTTATTGTATTTTTTTGGAAGGGGTGGCTCGTGCTCCCTTGACAAGATGCAACCCTGAACAGCTGCCTATATCGCCCATATCAGAAGCTTCCACTGCGTCTACCCACACACGTATTAATCTCATGACCAGAACCACACTCTTTTTGTAGGTGTTGTAGAGTTCTTCTCGTTCGGCTCCTGAAACCATGAGGTCACTATGTTCAGAGTTAACATTTCATTTTGCAAGAATAATACAATGAAGCAGGCAAACTTTATCTGGTGTCAAGCCTGATGCAATAAAAACAAAGAAACACTGTTCTGAGATAATGTAATCTAACACAATGCAGTGTTTCAGCAACATCCACACACACACACACCCACACACACACGAGCAACAGAGCCACATGTAGAGAACATGTTACAATACCATGACTTCCACCTTTGAAATGTTCTGACCACCACAGAGGAACTTCAGTCTGCATGGTGGCACGGCCTTGCAGCACATGCGGGTTAGTTTCATTTAAAATGGATCGTTTCCCACTTTTCGCTCCTTTTATGGTGACATTTCAAAACAAAAGTCCTTTCTTGAACAAACATCACTGACCTTTTGCAAAAACTGTTAGACTGTGTGCACTTAAAGACAATTTGGTTTAAAAAAAATATAAACTATGAGTTTTGGTGACGATAAATATTTTGTTGAGGCTTTTTTTATTTCAATTGCCTGTTTGTTTGTTTTTTAACCACAAATGTATTTAGTCTTTGAATCAACCAGAATTAAAAAAAATCAAGTTATTTTTCTACAGTCAATGCTGTACTAATTGTTTTTTTCGTACACATCAAGAATGAAATTACTGTGCTGCTTATAATGTCATCTTAGGCAATATCAATTCACATTTATGTAGCTTTAAAACAAATTTATCATCCTAATGTGAATACTGTGTGAAGTGCTGATATGTTGTTGGTGTTTGTTGGTATTATAAAGAAGACATTTTGAACTCAGTCAGTAAAAACTAAAACATTTAATTCACGCTGCCTAAACTCTTAGTAGTTTCACTCGTGTTTCGATTTAATCCAAAGACACAGTGCACGTTAATCAACACGAGTACTTCAACTCATCATGTAAATCATCCAGATTAACCACAGTCTAGTTTTTACCTGGTCTGACAAGTTCATGGTAGAAAATAACACCAGCTGAATGAGGAGAAAGCTTGGGTTCTTATTTGTACTCTGGATCGCTTGGTCCTTCAGTTTGGGTTCACTTTACATTAAACCTACAGTGAAACATTTAGAGTGACATTTGATGGTGTCATTTGACCCGTGTGTCATAAGTGTTCGTTTTTATTTTATTCAGTTAAGAAACACCTGTAAATTAACCACTATTATCCCACATTGACTACTGTATTTCTATTTTTACTTGCATGTGCTAAACCTCTACACTTACCTAAAGAAAATGTAATTACACTTTAATTGAAATGATAAATTACATAATCCTAAAGGGATTAGCATGAAAAAGAGCATTTTACAAAATGTAATAGATACTCCTAAAGTTTGACAATAAGTTTATTTAACCAGTGTCACGTGTGATGTTCAAAGACACTTTTGTTGTTGTCTGTGGACCAGGTTTTATTTTAGTAAGTTTATTTATCAGACAAATGATGCAAACCTTTACACCGAAAAAAATCTGCACAATTCTTGAAGGTTTGCCAGGTTAATAATATTTAATTTACACACCACAATAATAATATTTTAGCTTCTTATCTGATTCGTTGTATGTAAAGATATTTGAGAGTCCTTGTGAAATTGAATCTTTAAATCTCCCAGCTTGGTTTCCGGTTTAATCAATTTAAGCGCGCGCACGTTGTACAAAAGTTACGGTTCAGCGGAAATCCTGTTGCGTCACTACCACAGCCGTTATGGTCGGCCGTTGGTTGGTTCGGCTGAATCACGTGACACAGCAGCACAGAGCGTACAGAGAGAGCGCGAGACACTGCGCGTCATTCTCCATCTGCTCCGAGCCGCCGCGCGGATGAAACACCGGTCACCTTCACCCGAGCAGCATCACGGGAAGCTCCCCCGTGTCGGTGTTCCCGCTGCGGCCGCCTCCGCCTCTCCGCTGGACGGGTCCATGGAGGACGAGTCCCCTAATCCGCGGGAACTCACCCAGAACCCTTTGAAGAAGATATGGATGCCGAATAAAAACGGGCTTCCCGAAAAACACATATCTCATCGAAAGGGTGCGTACGTGTTAGCATAGCTGTTTGAATTATCTGAGAGGCTTTCAGCTTGAAGGGCGACGTGAGGCGGGAACAATATAAATGAATGTCCGGTTTGTCTTGTTGTGGAGCTAACCTGGACTTCTGTCTGGTTCTCACGGTTATGTAAGGATTCATGATGTTCTCAGTCTGGCACCAGTTTAAACTGCTCCTGTGGGTTAGCATCTCCTCTAAGAAGTGTCTCTTTAAGCAGTTTAAAGTAAATGACTGCTCCCCTCGTTCGAGAACATTCAGCAGCGTCTTGTATTTAAGTGATTGTTGACAAATGTAACTCTTGACCGTGTAGAAAATGACCTGCACCATCTAAATGTACAAACTTTAAAAGCGATCAATGCTCTCTGACCCATTTTCTTCCACTGTGGCTTCTTCTGTCTTAGTGCAACATTTTGCAACCTGCATGAAATCTGAAAGACCTCTGCCCTTTAATCTGCCCGGATACAAACAATCTGGTGCCAACATGGAACCTTTTATAGTGCAGGGCAGCAATAAAGCAGAATGTGAAGTTTCACAATTTTCACGTGTGTCTTGTTGCAGTGTGCATGACCAACTGTCCCACGCTGATCGTGACCGTGGGCCTCCCTGCCAGAGGAAAGACGTACATCTCCAAGAAACTGACCCGCTATCTTAACTGGATTGGAGTGCCCACCAGAGGTAGGACTTCTCTGGGTTTTTAGCTAAAGGACTTGAGAGAAATGTGAAAAGTAACAGCTAATTTAATGCACTTTTTTTTATCTCCTTTTCTTTGTCTGCAGAGTTCAACGTGGGACAATACAGAAGGGATTTTTTAAAGATCTACAAGTCGTTTGAATTCTTTCGTCCAGACAATAAGGAGGGGTTAAAGATCAGGAGGTATGGGTAACGTTTTGCACCACATTGATTTATTTAAACAACTGTGTGACGTTTATTTGCTGTTTTTGCAGGCAGTGTGCTTCGGCAGCGCTGAACGACGTGCGACAGTACCTCACGGAGAAAGGAGGTCAAGTTGCAGTAGGTTAAGTTATTTTGGCAGATATATTTTAAACAGTTTAACTGTGTACAATGCTAAAAGGCTTGTGTTGGTTCATTCAACCATTATTTATACAGGTTAGTTCCCATTGAGCCTCGAGGACTCGTTTACAAGAGAGACCTGTTAAACCTGTTGTGGTGTTGGCTGCTTTGTGTTTCTGTCTTTATAGGTGTTCGATGCAACAAATACCACCAGAGAAAGAAGAGGCACCATCATTCAGTTTGCAGAACAAAATGGCTTTAAGGTAACTCGTTGTGTTGCAGCTCTAAATGAGGTGACGGTTCATGCTGATACGTAGTCTCAGGTGGTTCCCTCCTCTCTCAGGTGTTCTTTGTAGAGTCTGTGTGTGAGGACCCAGAAGTCATACAGGAGAACATCGTGGTGAGTGACCGTGCTTGTTTGATTAGTTTGCCTCAGAGGGAGTTGAACTGTCGTCCGTGCTGTGCTCACTCTTCTTCTGATGCTGCTTAGCAAGTGAAGCTGGGCAGTCCCGACTACACAAACTGTAACACGGAAGAAGCTGTGGAGGATTTCATGAAGAGGATTAAGTGTTATGAAAACTCTTATGAGACGCTGGATGAAGTTTCAGACCGGTGAGGAGGACACGAGTGGGAAGGATGTTCCTACACTGCAGCTGTGGTTTTGAATATATTAATGTTCTCCGCGCAGGGATCTTTCCTACATCAAAATCATGGATGTTGGACAACGGTTTTTGGTCAATAGAGTGTTGGACCACATCCAGAGCCGGATCGTCTACTACCTCATGAACATCCACATCACACCGCGCTCCATCTACCTGTGTCGCCACGGAGAAAGTGACCTTAATGTCACAGGGCGAATTGGAGGAGACTCTGGTCTCACACCAAATGGCAAAGCGGTACTTTAAAAAAAACTACAAGAAAAAGTGGTGTGTATCAGAACTGTTTACATTTCTTTCTAAATGCAACAAACTTCTGTCTTCTCTGTGCAGTTTGCTAAAAAGTTGAACCAGTTCATCCAGACGCAGAACATCCAGGATCTGAAGGTGTGGACCAGTCAAATGAAGAGGACCATCCAGACAGCGGAGGCTCTGAGTGTTCCTTATGAGCAGTGGAAGGTCCTGAACGAGATCGACGCTGTAAGCAGTGCCCTGTTGGTCGCTAACGCTGTACTCTGTTTCTTTGGGAGCTGAACTAACATTTGTCGTTAATGGTTTTAGGGTGTGTGCGAGGAGATGATGTATGAGGAGATCCAGGAGCATTATCCTCTGGAGTTCGCCCTGCGGGACCAGGACAAATACCGCTATCGGTACCCAAAAGGAGAGGTCAGAGGCAGGTTTTATGTATTGTAAAGACGAGTTTCTTTCATACGAATCTTACTCCATGCACATGTAGGTCAAAACTACGACTGAGCTTTAGGGCCACGCTAAGAAAAAAAAAAAACAAACAAAAAAAAAAAAACAACGAGTCTTTTTGCAGCTCTTGTTTGTTTTTGTTTTTTTCACAAGTTGGATCCACAACACGACCTGTCAATCAATCCAGTAGGTGTGTCAGCAAACGACCAATCCGAAGCTAAATGAGTCGTAATATTATCCAAACTCCGACACAATAAAGCAGTTTCCTGCATTTTAACTGGTAAACTGAAGACTGTTGAACAGCTTGTTAAATTATACTTTGGTATTGGTTTTACAAATAAGGAGATAGTTAATCTGTTAGCATATCAGCATCAGATTATCAGTATCAGGACTTGAACCTGCTTACAGTAAGGTGGTACCCTCTGATGGGCTGCAGCACAGCTCTGCAGGTAAGGAGCATTTAGCTTTATATTGGTAATTTGCTGACACGCCTACTGGATTGATTGACAGGTCGCGTCGTGGATCTGACGCGTGGAAAAAAATGAGGGCTGCAAAAAGAAAAGTCTCGCACGACTTTATTCTTGTAATATTAAAACTTTATTCTCGTAATTTTATGGCTTAAGTTTTTTTTCTTTCTTAGCGTGGTCTTAAAGCTCCGTCGTACAAAACGGTGTTGCAGGCAAGAAATATCTTCTCATTTAACGTCAGCATCAGAGCTCACAATATTGTTACTTTACAACCTGCCACATGACGCCTAATAAAATCATAAAACACGAGTCACTGCAGCTCAGTGTTGTACGGTGTCAGGTGAGCATCATGTTGATGGCTTGGATTACATCAATTCTATCAATAATCTTATCAAATATATTGAGAGATTTCCACATCCCAACACTGTCCTCAACAAGTGGTTTGAGATTCAACAGTGAGGCAATCGTACGTTCTGTGAACAAGATCCAGTCTGATGATAAAAGATGAGAACGTTGCATTTTGACACTGGTGGGGTGTCAGTCTGCCCTTTTTACTCACTCAGAGCCACAATCTACTGCTTCTTGCAGAAGGATGTGATGTCAGATCATTTCTCTTCCCCCAGTGGGTGATAATGTTGCACAAAGTCATGTTGATGTTTGCAACTACCGTATATGTCGGAAATGTAAGCGTCTCTGTGGACAGCGTGCGAGTTTTAAAAATGTCAAGAACTTCCTGTGTGAATTTAATAAAAATGTTTTTTCATGTAAACACAAACGGCGTCAAATTAAATCCAGATGGCTGCTGGCCACTTACACTCCGCTAATGAAACTCCACTTGGATAATCGGGTTTAGTTGAACATGTGATCACGGTAAACAAAGACTTCACATCAGTTTTTGTGCCCATGAGTGTGTGTGTGTGTGTGTGTTTGCCTAATGTGCGGTTGGTTTGTTTACTGTGGGTCTAAATGCTCTCACCTTTAGTTCATCTAATTACCTCATCGTTAGTGTCACGTAGGAAGATGGATTTGGTTTCCAGTTAAAATCCAGACATGCTGTATGAACGCTTCCACCTGCTAAATGTCTGTTTATTTACCTGTGCAGAAAAGTGACCAAGTGAAACTCCTGCTTTACAGCTTAACTTTTATGACCATTTAATTTCCCGTCTTGTGCTCAGTCCTATGAGGACCTGGTGCAGAGGTTGGAGCCGGTCATCATGGAGCTGGAGAGGCAGGAGAACGTGCTGGTTGTCTGTCACCAGGCTGTCATGCGCTGCCTGTTGGCCTACTTTCTGGACAAAACGGCAGGTCGGTGCTTGATGGAATAAAAAAAAAAAAAGAAGACGCAGACAATCACACACTAATGCAAAAATAATGATGAAAAGACTTTTAGGGAAATAAATTGAAACGTGAATACAACAGGTTGAAAGAACCTAACTAAAATAGTTTTTTGTAATCACAGCTGAAAATTAGAGCACCCACCTAACACTCAGTCCTGTTCTGTTTTTATCTGTCTGCACAGTGAATAAAGTAGTGTGCTTTTTTTGTTTTTTTTTCATTCAACCTTTATTTAGACGGGTAAATCCCATTGAGCCTCAAGGACTCATTTACAAGAGAGACCTGATGACAAGTTATTGTTTTATTTTAAGTTTTGATGTTATCTAGTTTTGTGGGTGAGCTCGGCTCTCGTCATGTGACGCTAATAAAACATTACAAGTTGGTTCCTTTTCTAAAACGACCACGGTAGCTGTTTGGAGCATCGGTGGTTCTGTTCTGGTGGTTTTATGCATCTGTTGTTCTTACAGAGGAGCTGCCGTACCTGAAGTGCCCACTGCACACTGTGCTGAAGCTGACGCCCGTGGCCTACGGTAGGAAATCAATAATTGTCGGCTGGAACATAAAGTCGCTCTGTCCGCTCACATGAACGAACAAATCCAGTGTTTTCTGTACTCGCAGGGTGTAAAGTGGAGTCCATCAGCTTAAGTGTGGAGGCTGTTAACACACACAGAGAAAAACCAGAGGTGGGTATCACACACACACACACACAGCCGTTTTGTTTTTTTGTTTCACTACAGCTTCTCAACATGTTACAAGTTATTCAGATTTTTTTAATGCACTTACTGTATTTATTTTTACCAGACCATGTGGATAATAATTTAAGAAAAGCAATAAATCTTACATTTGTTGCTTTAAACTTGTGCACATTTTCAACATTCAGATTCTTCTGGTACACACACCCCGCTGACAGTATGTTGCAGTTGAACTGCAAAAGCTGTTGTGTACAAATACACTCCCCGGCCACTTCATTGGGTATACCTGTTCTGTCGCTTGTTAATTGGACATGGAGACCCCACCCCTGTTTAATGATGGACGGGTTCTCTTCACTAGGGCTGGGTACCTTTCTAAAAAAATTTTTAAAAAATCTGTACCGGTGTCGGTACCTTCACTTCAGTGTTGGTTCCTGGACGGTTCTTTTTTCAAAACCAATTTTTGTGATTACTATTAATTCTAACAAAGAAAATTATGTTACACATTACAGTACAATTTGTGAGTTTTATTTTTTAACTTGGGTATTTTTCTATTCCAAGCAGTTTTCTTACATAAAAACAAATAATTTCCAGTTCAAAAGACCAGTTTCAAACCAGTGACACGTCAGTGTCTAATGCTCACTGCTACACACTGAGGACCTTTTCACTGAACAGTTTTTATTCAGAAAAATCAACATGTCTGTTTTCTCTGGACACAAACAAGCCCGCTCCTGGCTGATGGTGTCTCCAGCAGTAGGAAGTGTTCACTCTGAGGCTGTAGATGATGCTTGTTGCACACACAGATACCTGGTTGACAGTTTGATAGCACTGACATAGTGTCCCTCACGTTCCACCAGCAGGTCACTGGATTCACTGAGGTAGGGATGATGGCAGACATCTGCACCTCTGTCTCTTCCTGAATCTTCTCTGGGGTTTAGGGCTCTGATCATCTCCCTAATTGACATGAGAACAAAACATCAACAGTAACATTGTTGTTATTATTGCTCAAAAAACATTATCTAGGCTGAGAGATAAAAGCTTAACCTTCAACATCCTTTACAGCTTAACTTACCTTCATGCAGCCTCCACTGTAGTTAAAAGCAGCAAACTTTTAACAACAAAGTTTGTGACTGTCCTGTGGCCCCCCCATCTTGCTGTTCTTTTGTCTGTCCTCCTCACATCTGGGTCAGAGGCTCTTGTGAGGAGAGTCCTCTCTCCTTGCAGAAAAACACGGAGCAACTTTCTGCTCGTAAATTGAAGCCGTTCGACAACACGCGCTGCACACGTGAACCCCGTCTGTGGGTGTCACCAGCACCTTAGACATAGATTAGGTGCGGCAGCTCTGGGTGTAAACATGTAGTCTGTTTGTCATATGTCTGATGTTTTACCTGCCTGCGTGCTGAAACCATGTGACATGTTACAGCCAATACCGAAACTTGACACCGAAAGAAGAGTTGACGTTTCAATCCATACACCAAACGGTGCAGTTCGGTCGGTGCCATTTAATAACCTCTGTTTGGTACTCAGCCCTACTCTTCTCAAAGATTGCTCCTTTCACTCCTCTTTCAAACAAACATTCCTCTATCAAGAATGTGCTTAAGATGTGCACATCCTTGATAAAGAGGAACATTGGTTTGAGCATCACTCAGCACCCTATGAATAGTAAGCGGCCATCAGGGCTCTAACGATCCATCATTATGTGATGGTCATTGGTCATCCAAGGTCATTGTGATGGTCCTCCTTTCACAAGTGAGTAGCTTCTTATGACTGTCATCAGCAAACTGGTTGATCCACTATGATAAGACCATTTATAAAACAGAGTTTGCTGCAGGGTCTCAGACTGAAGAAGTCTTTTGGATAAAATATTAAATTTTCAATAAAGAAGAATCTGTCCAGAGGACCTGATTAAGATAAGATAGAACTTTATTGATCCCACCTTGTTAGAACCATGGGGTTCATAGAGAATAGTCCAAAAAGAGAAGATATTCATTGTAATTAAAGCCTTATTTTTGTCGGAGGAGAATGGGCAGACTGGTTGGAGATGACAGAAAGGTAACAGAAGCACAAATAACAACAATGGTCTGCAGAAACCATCTGTGAGCTCACGACAGGTCCAACCTGGAGACAGTTTGGCTGCAGCAGCAGAAGACCACACTGGGCGTCACTCCTGTCAGCTACCAGCAGGAAACTGAAGCTACAGTTTGTGAAGACTCGTTAAAGCAGGAAAATAAGACGTTGGAAACATTTTCCTGCTCTGATGAGGGTCAGACCACTGACTCCAGCTGCCTCCAGTCTCATCGATCATCTTTAGGAGACACAGCATGGACGTGCAGCTGACAAACCTGCAGCAACAGTGATGCCAACATGTCAATATGAACCAAAACCTCAGAGGAATGTTTATAACATGTTCCATCTATGACACAAATAATTAAAGCAGTTCTGCAGGGAGAAGAGTTGAGCCCCGTACTAACAAGGTGGACACAATAAAGTGGCTCATGAGTTCTGTGCCCGTCTAGTAAATACATCTTAAACATATTTACACTTGATGTTTTTGATTTATTTTTACCAATAAGGCCTGTTTAAAGAATGTTATTTTTATTTTAGGAAACAAGTCAACTCTACAACATGATGCATACGATTGTTGTTCTCAGTCTTGAACCACTAACCTAATACACAACTTCTCAAGATGTTTCTGACAGAGATGAAAGTTGACGGCGTGAAAGAGGAGCTGACTTGTTTTCAGGTTTCAGACTGCAGCCGATTGCTCGTCTCCTCTTGTTTTGACTCCTCGTGCTCTCTGTGTCTCATCGAACAGAACGTAGACGTGACTCGGATGTCAGAAGAGGCTTTGATTACTGTGCCAGCTCACCAGTGAGGCAGTTAGCCGTCCCCTCCACCGTTTAGCCTCTGTTAAGCAGTGAACCCCTGCAGACGCACAATGCTCCTCCTAGGTCCTCGTCTCCACTGCCCTTTGGTTTTTCCTCTCTCTCGATGTGATTAGAGTTAATGCTCGACTGGAATCCAGTTTCTGATGGTTCAATTGTAAATCCTGTCACGGATCTCGTCACGCACAATCTTCAGTTTTTGGAGAATGACTTGTTTGGGGGGGGGGGGTCGTTTTGAAGCAACGCTGCACTCTCAGCAGCTTTTCTGTGAAAACAGTTTATTTTTTCTCTCTGTTCTTGTCTGTAGAACTGATTAACAGTTTTTATTATTTTACCAGTGTCAGTTTTAAGTTTAGTTAAAATTACTTTTAAATGACTACAAAACGGATCAAAATGATGCCTTAAAGTCAACTGTTTAGTGTTTTAGGCTGTGTAACACTAATAACTGACAATCATGGAGGTACAGATATATGATGTGAAGGCTTTGATTTTTAAATTCACATGAATGATCAGAAATAAGAGCAACACGTTTCTGTTTACTGGTTTTGAATAAAATCCACTCATCCATGTCATGAACGTGTGCCGCACTCTTTGTTTCGTCTTTAGAGAGCAGCTTGGCTGTTCCATCACAACATAAACTCAGCGTGGCTCTTCCTGTTCATTCTGCCGTGCAGACTGAAGGCTCGGACGTTTCTCATTCATATGCAAACACTTCTCTGGGCCTAAACCCCAGAGAGCCCAACAGAGCGCTCGCTGTGCACGCTCCGTCTGCTCACTGATCAGCTGCAGGCTTGGTGGAGTCACGGCACTCGGTTTTAAGCAGAAATAAGGTTAAAAACAATAATCAAGTACTTTTACTAAGGTGCAGAGCAACTAAGATGAGATGAAACTTTATTGTCCACCGAGGTGGAAATTTTCCTTCGGCTCTCCAACCATAAAATAAAATATCAACAGTTTGTGCATAGAATAAAACTGTATGCCATAGGTAGATGTTATCATTTGTTTTGGTTAAGAATGGTTATTGCACTCAGAATGACTTCTTAGACGTTCTTGTTGCCAGAGGGACCCTGTAACACCTTCCGGAGCTCACGGGGTCAAACTGATGAGGATGGATGCTATCTTCTAAAATTATCCCTTGCTGGCTGTCTTGTTCTTTCTGCAGTTGACACAGAGCGTTTAGTGGTTTCCCCACTATTTTACCTGCCATTGAAACAATTATTTAAAGTTTGTTTCTATATTGCATGTTGACAAGTTTTAAACTAAGTCCACCACAGCTGTGGTCACTTGCTTCTCACGAAAAAGTTGAAATAATGCCGGTCTGAGCTAAAAGCTGTTGAACTGAGCTGAACACGAGTCGCGTCAGTGGTTTCTTCAGCTGATGTTTGTGTTTATAGTAGCTGCAGGTCGGCTGCAGGGCTTTGACTTGTGTGTGTGCTTGTTGACAAACCGTCTGACCCGGCTCCGCTCCTCCTTCCAGAACGTGGACATCCACCGTACGGCTGAGGACGCCCTGCAGACCGTCCCTCCTCACCTCTGAGGCCTGCGCTGGAACCAGTGATGCTGAAGTTGGACCTCTCCTCTGCCTCGTCCTTTCTTGTGGACGGACTCCTGTAAACTCACCACCACCCTCCACTCTATGGAAGTATTAGGTTGTTGGTGTCTGACAGCTGCAGCACATCTGGGCCACTTTATTCATGATCCAAAACTTTGTCCTGCAGAGAGGTGGTGGTTCTCAGCAGAGATCAGTCTGATGGATGTTGTACTCGCTGTGGGTTCAGCGTGTCTGTGTAGATCTAACTCTGACGGTTCCAGTCAGGTTAGCCACGCAGGTTCAACCCAACGTGTGTTTTCTGCTGCATGTCAGACATGATAGCATTCTGTGTGCAATCGTTATTTCATGTGATATTGTGCAATTCATGTGGTTTGAACCTGCTCCCAGCACAAAGCTCTAACTGAACTGGGTGAAGGGATTTTACCAGAAATATTAGCATCTCTTGTAAACAGCTGCTAATGTACTGTACACAACTGGGTGGTCATAGCTTTAGCTACTGTCTGTAGTGGGTCGTTTTGTTTCAGCTGTTACAAACCGTTTATGAGAAACGTGGAGCAAAATATCTGAGCATTTGAAATGTTTTAAACGCAACGTTAGCCAAAAGTTGGTAGTTTATCTCCAAGTGAAAATATATGTTTTATCTCCACAGGAATAAAGATGTTATTTTTCTAAACCAATCAAATGTTTTTCAAATTTATGCTTCTTTTTATAAACGTTTGCAACGATGAGGTGTGATTGTAAAAATCACTTGAGTATCTGATCGTTTGGTTTAAAGCATGTCCATAAAAAAGGACTGACCATTTTTCCAAAAGCATCACTTGACTTTTCTACTTATCGTGAAATCAGGTGTTCAGTTGGTACATGTCTGCAGTTTTGTCAGTTCTAGGAAGTCTGGGGCTTCACTTTCCTTGAACAGGGAAAATGTTCACGAGCTGTTGTGAATGATCGAGTTTGAATGAGCTTTTTTTTTTAAACCAGAGACTTTAAGTGACGTGTGCCAAAACAGCTACTGCCCTCAAACTTCAAAATAAAACAACAAAAAAAGCATTTATATGTTAATGCATAAACTGTAAGAAATGTCAAAAGAAATGTTAAAGCTGGTTAGTCACCATGGTAACCACACACCTGTCTCACTCCCAGATTAATGAGACAGACGATAACGAAGCTTCAAACAAACGGCCGCTGTGTGAACCTGAGAGCTTCATGAACTGGTTCTGATGTCACACAGGAAGTGTTGGCAGGAAACTTGACGAGTAAAAACGTCCTATTTTGAGCTTTAAATAGCTCAAAATCCCATCGCCACATTTTAGCTACGTTTTGTGACGCACCACTACCAAAGGTCAGAACACTTCCTGATCGAACTGCACGTTTCCTTTCACACGACGAGCAACGAACTGAACGAGGGTGCTTCAGTACTTCTGCAAAAATTACTAAATCACTAAAGATGTTCAACAAATGTTAAATCAATTGTGAAATTTTAAAATATGTGCTTAATTAATTAATGTGAACCAACACTGAATCACTTCCTCTTCCTAACATCACCAACGGCAACTTCCTGAAAAGTAAAGAATCTGGTCTTCGGTGCAGCAGCTCACACCATGTAAGGCACTTTTTAAAACCCAACACGTATAAACAAGTGACTTTATTTCTCTCATTATCTCTTACACGGGTCATTGTGGCATCTCCATCTGATTTAATGCCACACTCAAATATTCACGTCCTTAATAGACAAACTTTGAAACAACGATGACGAAACAGACACACACAATACAAAAACCTGGTCGTTTTATTTGCGACTACACGTCCCCGACGTCCCTGTAATCATGGCTATCAACTGGATTAATACTTTAAGGACCCGCCTTTGTTTGGGGATTTGATCAGAGTGGCTGAAAATGAAACTTACTATTTCATTATATACAGGAATTGATATCCACGACTACAGGGAAATACAGGAGACGGGCGCAAAGGGTGTCAGATTGGTCACATCCCTCTGGTCACCACGTCGACTGGATGCGTCCTCCTCTAGTTCTCCGCTCATGTGCTGATTGGTCCTCAAGACTGTCCAAGGGGTGCAGAGACCCAGGACAAGGCTGCCATTAGAACTGTGGGGAAGACAGAATGTGTTTCAGACCAAACTCGGTTACAGCTCGTCAGTGATCAAATCCAACCGTCTTACGTTCTTGAGGAACTCCTCAGCAACGATACGAGCCCTGGCGTTAACAGACAGTTTCATCTCGCTGATCTCCTTGTCGATCTCCTCCATGAAGTGGATGACGAAGTCCACCAGCTTGTGTTTGTACATCTGCTCTGTGTGAAAGTTGGTGATCAAGAAGCTAATATCATATCCCTGTGGACACACGAAGGACATCAGAGTTAGAGATGCCATAAAAACAGCAGTGATTTTATTTTTATGTGTCCTATCGCTCATACGACACAGATCTTCTCCCCCGGCTTCATCCCTTACCTCGACTGGTTTCCTCCTCAGAATGAAGAAGTTCTCCGCTCTCATCATCATGAACCGCATGAACTTGTGGCAAAGGATCTTCTCGATCTCATCAGCCTGTGATCACAGCGGAAATGTTCTTTAATGTCTAATTAAAATCAGGAGCAGAAGCATTGAAAGCTCAGAGTGTTGAATGACCTGCTTGACAGCAATGCTGACTCTGACGGAGTTAATGGAGCCCTCAATGAGAACCTTCTCCTTCTCGTTCCGGCTGATCACCACAGGCTGAAGCAGCAGCTCCTTACTGCTCCTGTAACCACGTCCACAAAACTCTCAGCTTCCCAGTTGATACAGAAGGACACCTTCACACAGGCTGCTGTGAACACTTTGAGATCCCTGCCCATGCTTGTGCCATTTTTTTCTTCCCTCCCATACTTTCTTGCACAAGTCAGCACAAGCCCATACATGTGTGACAGCTGCAGATGATCTGCAGGAGAAACACACAGGAGGAGGGAAAGCCTTCGAAACATACCTGACCTCCACCTCCGGCTTGTTGTGGCGCTCCACCACCTGAGAGGAGAAGTTCTCCAGGCAGAGAGCCGCCTGCAGGGTGGCCCTCACAGCATTCAAGTACGGGCGCAGAGTCGCTGTCTGAGGAGAAACAAAGGAAGATCTGAGAGTCTGAGGAAAGAATCCTGCTCCATGATGCAAGTGATCAGAAAACAAACACAACCAACCAGCTCAGTGAGACTGGCCCCTGGGGTCAGGTCCGACTGGGGCCCAGTATGGGCAAGGATGCACACACATCACTATAAAAATATACTTAGTTACTTTTAGTTGAGGGTTTCTTATCAGTCATTTAAGCAGCACATGACTTAAAATATGAGTTTGATTTATTTAATTTTGCTCGCAGAAGTAGGTGAATGCATCTCATCGATTTTTGTCTTCCTTCCACATTATGGCTCGTTGCGCCTCACAGTATTAAAACATTTAATGTGCCTTTCAGACCCAAAAAAGTCAGTTTTGGGAAAGCCACCTGTAACAGTAAAGAAGGAGAAAAGGCCCGAGAGGAAAGAGCAGCTCAGCTAAATCAGTCCAGGCTCTGAAGGATGCCCGTCCTCTCAGTTCACTGAAACCAGACAAAATCTGTGTCACCGTGGGACGACGAAAGCAAACTAGCTAGCTCATTTCAATTTGCGCGAAGTCGCGGTTACTTAAAACAAATAGGTAAATATTAAATTTCAAAAATTCATGAAATGCAGGAGACTTACCATTTTTCAGCTGTAGAAGAAGGAAGTTCCTCAGCCACGCCTGGAACGACGCTTCCGTAAATCCATCATAGTAATGTAGAGCTAAGGTGCGTTTGTTTATTCAACTTCTCGTTTGAGGAGGTTGGTGCTTCCCTCAAAGCTTATGTGTTTGAACTCGTTACTCCGCCCAACGGAGGAAGAGTTGAAACAAAACGAACACACATATGGGTGCAACCATTTTGCTTAACAAGGGGAACTACAGGTTAGTTTTTGGATGTTGGGTCATTAGTAATTTAGACTTTTTTCAACATTTATGTAAATTTAACCCGTAAAGTAAAATATGAAATATATTTATGCAATAATTATCAAAAATTGCAGATTTAGTTGAAAAGTATTTGCGTCTTGACAAAAATGGTTTATTCCAACAATACCATTGCCTTGTGGGTGGTTGTTGTGCTAGAAGTATGGCTAATTTGTTTTGCTTTGTTTAAAAGTGTTGATTTCTCTAGTTAATTTAAAAAAAGCATATAGCTTGCATTAAATGTTTTTAATTTGGTTTCAAAAGTACAAATTTATTGTAACTAGGTTTTAGACACCCCTCTCGGCGCAATGGTTTTTCCCATCATGGACGCTTTTCACTGACGGTAAATATCGCTGCTCCTAAACGTGAAATTCAATGTTTATGTTCCCTGAGTGGGCAGAAACACGCGTAAAAATGTTCGGGAATAATATCTGTGTGATTTTAATGACTAAAACTGCTGTTAAAATATAAGAATAATTCGGGTCCTTTTAGGCCCGGAGCTGAATGATGCCCTCCTCGGACGTGCTTTGGGTTTTTGATCAGAAACTTGGACCCAGACTTCGCTTTACGCGAGTCCAGTGATCTCTAACGAACCGTGTCGTTCATGTGATTGTGTTAGGTCAATCAGTCGCACTGTCTCACCGCATCATGAGCGAGCTGAAGGACTGCCCCTCGCTGAAATACTACGACTTCAAGCCTGTGGAGCATGTGAAGTTGTGCCCCCGGTACACGGCTGTGCTGGGCCGCTCAGAGGACGATGGCATCGGCATAGAGGAGCTGGACACCCTGCAGCTGGAGCTGGAGACACTGCTGTCCTCTGGCAGCCGCCGCCTCCGAGCCCTGGAGGAGCAGAGACAGGTACATGTCTCTGATCCATGTGCTTTCATCACATTTTACTATTCTGCACATTTGAATCCTAAATAAAAAAATACTAAAAGTCCCTTTGACCTTCTTCTGTCCTTAATCTCAGATCCTCACAGATTGGCAAGACAAGAAGGGAGACAAGCGTGTTCTGGGGAAAGACCCAGATCCTGCAGCCACATCCCGCCATAAAACAAAGAAGCAAAAACAGGACAGCAAAGGAGGACCAAGTCCAGGTCCTGGAAGACCCAAGTCTAAACTCATACAGCCAAAAGTTCAAGAGTATGATTTCCCAGATGATCCACAAGATATTCCCCGCGCTCCTAAAAATGATGCTCCCAACAGGTCAGCAGCAGCATCATCAGCATCTTTCTCTAATTATTATAAGTTTTGTTTTTTGGGAGGGAGGGTTTGCCTCATCAAAACAGGAGCAATGTTGTTCAGAGATGTGCTGTAAAAGCTTATTTTGTAAGGATTTATTATTGCACTTGAAATGATTTTTCAGATTCTGGGCATCAGTCGAACCGTACTGTGCTGATATCACAAATGAAGAGATACGGCTACTTGAAGAGCTTCTGAAACCTCCAGAGGATGAGGCTGAGTATTTCAAAGTATGATGTAAAAATCAAGCTCCTTCATTCAAGGCATTGATAACAATCTTTGTGTTTAGCTGATATTGAGTAAGATGGATTATAAAGTACACTGAGCTTCAGGTTTGATTGTGTTAACCGCAGATTCCAGCATTGGGGAAACACTACTCACAGCGTTGGGCTCAAGAGGACCTGCTGGAGGAGCAGAGGGAAGGAGTACGAGCCAACGACAAGAAGAAGAGCCTCATGGGAGGACCGCTGTCAGAACTGGATGCAAAAGGTTAGAACTGTCTGCCTTTGTTTTTATCTAGACAGGCTAATATTGTTGCACAGATCTGTATCTTTATCCACGTTGATCCTCATCTTTATGTTCAACACAGATGTAGACTCACTGCTGAAAAAGTCAGAGTCCCAGCATGAATCACCAGAGGACGGGTGTCCCTTTGGTCCTCTCACTCAGCGTCTGCTGCAGGCCCTTGTAGAGGTCAGACTCAAACTTTTCTACCCAAATTTGTCTTTCAGTAAGGAACTGATAATTGAAATATATCCATGATTTAAATAAAAACTGTTCAAATGCTTTCAGAAACCCCTGAGAACCTTTGACAAAGACCACTTATTCTACGAAACTGTCTCATTGGAGGCAAACTTTAACAGAACAAGGGAGGACTCAGGATGTTTACTCATATTTGTATATAAAGATTTCATCGGTTTTCTTTCAGGAGAACATTATATCCCCCATGGAGGATTCTCCTATACCAGACATTTCAGGAAAGGACACTAACGATGGTGCTGGGACGTCTCCTCGAAGCCAAGGGAAAGCGTTCAGGTGCGCTATGTCCTGTGTCTTACTGATAAGACCCTGATGTGGATCATAAAACACCAAGTTTGGAATTAATTTACTGTAACTTGGTCATAAATTAACAATCATGGTTGGTTCAGACAGTTGGTCTGTTTAATTGTTTGGTCAGTTAAAGACTATTTTATTGCCACCTATTATTACCCCATCTTAATATTTGAAAGATCTGATGTTACACAAGACAGGCAGAACACCAGGAAGTAGAGGGAGACAGATTTGGGGGTTTATGGTGACAGTGTAGATGTGTGATTTTTACCACAGGAAAAAAGTAAATAAATAAATAAATAAATGTCTCTTGAAACTTCTCAGAATGCGTTAGAGGTGAGTTTAACATATGGACTCCGGAAGAAAACCCTTCACTGTAGTGAGATCAGGGTGGCAGAACTAAAACCAGAGCAAGTCCACGTCCTGAGGAGGCGAAGCTGGAAATGTTAGAAATAAATTAAAACTTGAGAAATTGCATTTCCTGCAAAAATGCAGTGTGAATGCTGATTGATGAAGAACTTGCTGAAAAAAAAGCTGCAATTAGCTAAAAACATGCTGAAATGGAAGAACAATCCTAAATTAGCAGAATAAATCAGAAAGAACACATATTTGCTGAACTAGGTTTATATAAGCAAAAATGACTACAAAAATTATGAAATCAGCTCGAAAGGCTGAAACTAGAAAAAAAACAACTGAAAAATAGTTGAAAAAAGCTTAAACTTCCATCTATCCATCCATTTTCTTTACCCGTTTATTCCATTTTGGGTCACGGGGGTCGCTGGTGCCCATGTCCAGCAATCACTGTGCGAGGGGCGGGGTACACCCTGGACGGGTCACAAGTCCATCACAGGGCCACATAGAGACAAACGAGACAAACAATCATTCACTCTCTCACTCACACCTAGGGACAATTTAGAGTTACCAATCAGCCTAACATGCATGTTTTTGGTCTGTGGGAGGAAACCGGAGCACCCGGAGAAAACCCACGCATGCACGGAGAGAACATGCAAACTCCACCCAGAAAGGCCCCTGGACCGGGGTTTGAACCAAGGACCTGCTCGCTGAGAGGCAGCAGCTCTACCAGTTGCGCCACCGTGCTGCCCGAAGCTTAAACTTGAAAGGTCAAATAAAACTAATTTATAACGTTGAAATGAAGGTGTAATTGTAAAGTTTGTAAATGAGCCTTCAAGGCACAATGGGAACTAACCTGTATAAATAAAGGTCTAATGAAAGTGGAAGGAGTTGAAATGAGCTAAAAAAAAAAAAAAAAAGTGGTTAGCTGAAAAAGCTAAATTTGTCACAAAACATCTAAATAGTATCTGAAATAGCAGAAAAATCTGAAGCTATCAGAAATAAGCTGAAAGGAGCACAACAAGCTGAAGTTAGCAAAAATAAAAAAATTTGAAAAGTAGCTTAAAAAAGCAGAAAGCTGAAATTACAAGAAGGAAGTGGAGAGAGCACATTTTTGCTGAAATAGTCTGAAAAAAGTTTAAATAAGTGCAACAAATTTGGAATTAGCTGAAAAGGATAAAATTAGCATAAAACAGCTAACTAGTGCTAAATAGTAACTGAAATCACTGAAACCAGTACAGGCAAAAGAGAGCACATTACACCAGTTTTGGCCTCACTGCACTGGTTACTGGTTCACTTTCGAATCCAGTTCAAAATACTCATGTATGTCTACAAATCACTGAACAGTTTCGCTTCCCCCCCCCCAATTTGCTACAACCGTATGTCCCACCACGCTCCCTGAGGTCAGTGGACCAGTTGCTCCTCACAGTTCCAGGAACTCGTCTTAAGCGCAGAGGTGACAGGGCCTTCTCTGTAGCAGGACCAAGACTCTCTGGAACGAGTTACCTCTGCTTGTCAGACAGGCCCCCTCCCTCTCGGTTTTCAAGTCCCATTTTAAAACTCACTACTATTCAATAGCTTTCAACACCAGATGATCTGTGTTTTGATCCTGTATGCTCCACATTGGTTTGTCGTCATTATCTGCATCGTTTTTATGTCTATATTCTGATTTACCTCATTTTATATTTTGCTTTGTGTGTTGTCTGTTGTTTTGTCTGTACAGCACTTTGGTTGGCCTTGTAGCTGTTTTAAGTGCTTTATAAATAAAGTGGGTATGGTATGGTAAATAGCAGGAAAGGCTGAAACTTGTAGAAGTAAGCTGAAATGAGCAGAACAAGCTGAAATGAGCAGAACAAGCTGAAATGAGCAAAAAGAAGTTAGAAGAAGCATAAAAATGTAGTTGGCAGAAAGAACCTGAAAAGGAGCACAAAAAGAGCTGAGAAAGCAGCTGAAATTAGCTAAAAAAAATTAAATTTGCACAAGGAAGCTGAAAGCAGTTGAAGCAAAACAAAAAGTGAAAGGAGCAGTAAAATGTTATAAACAGATCTAAAGATTTGAAGGATGTAAAATGAGCTCAATTCATTTTCTATAAGAAAAAAAGTGGCAGAAAAGGCTAAATATTTTGAAAAGCTAAAGTAGCACCAATACCAAAAGTCATAGCAGGATTCCAACAATTTTCAGTCAGGTCATCTGGACAGTTTCTTTTTGTGCTGAAACATTTCACCTTCCATCCAGAAGGCTTCATCAGTCAAGGAAACGCACAACACAAAACTGATTCTTCCTCCAAACAGCTTACTCCAACGTGGAACAAACCAGTTATGTTGGTGCTAAGATGGCGTCTTTGGCACGCCCCCTCCTCTTGTGCCGGTCTTCTTCCTCGTCGACACCATCTTAGCACCAACATAACTGGTTTGTTCCACTTTGGCGTAAGATGTTTGGGGGAGGAATCAGTTTTGTGTTGAGTTTCCTGAACTGATGAAGCCTTGTGGATGGAAGGTGAAACATTTCAGCAAAAAATAAACTGTCCATATGACCTGACTGAAAATTGGTGGATTATATACCTGGATTATTGAGCATGGGCTTTTTGGTCATAGCAGGATTGTCCTGAAAGAGCTGAACATTTTTGTTGAAATAGCTTGAAAACTGCTGGATGAGAATTGTGCCGAAAAGCGTACAGAAGAAAAATGGATGACAATAGTGTGAATGCTTCATAAACATTCACCCTAAATAAAAATGTGAACACGAGTCCAGGTGTGACAGCAGCATCAGTTCAGTCGACAAATCCAGCTTTATTAATTGTTTGCGTCTCTGAGGTGACAATTGGACTTTTAATGTTCAAACTAAATGTTTCTCTACTCTGAAAACGACTGAGCTATTACACCAGTTTACAATTTACACAATGAAATCTACTCTGTAACACCTGCAGTTTGAAGGATTTAATACTATACAAGAATGCCAGAGTTCAGGATTAGTCAACTCAGCTAAGGTGACCTTTTTTTTTTCAGGTTGACATGTTTATTTTCCTCATTGTCTTTTCAAAGTCAATGAAGTGTTGCAGGAATAAATCTTTTTTTTTCCTTCAGAAATCTGATTTGCACAAGTGGCATTACTGCAAGGGTCATATTTAATCACACAAAGTCAATCTAATAACGAAAACATACTTTTTTCCACATCTTCCCTGTCTGTAATCCTGAACTTAGTTATCAACAGGATTAATAAGGAGTTTACTTGATGTTCTCTATTGCTCAGGTACTGATCAGCTGTTTTTGTCTACTTGTGTCGTCATTTCTGCTCAGTGTTCCTCACACACGTTCTCTGGAGGCACGAATCAAAGAGGAGCTGATGGCTCAGGGGCTGCTGGACTCAGAGGAGAGACCAGGACAAGGAGGGGAGTCGGAGGACGAGATCCTGGCAGAGCTGCAGAAGAGGCAAGCAGAACTCAAAGCCCTCAGTGCCCACAACAGATCCAGGAAGCAGGAGCTGCTCCGGTGAGGACCGTGTGCTGGGCTCGCTCCCCACCCTCGTAAACTCCATCACACGTGGGTGAAGACGTGACCCTGTGGTGTCCTGGTGTCTTGCAGGTTGGCAAAAGACGAGATGCGTAAACAGGAGCTAAGACAGAGGGTGAGGGTTGCTGACAACGAGGTGATGGAGGGCTTCAGGCGGATCATGGCAGCCCGGCAAAAGAAGCGCACACCGACCAAGAAGGAGAAAGATCAAGCCTGGAAAGCTCTGAAGGAGAGGGAGAGCATCCTGAAATTATTAGATAGCTAGAACAACTTTTTTCTTTTTTTTTAATGTAAGAAATCCAATTTCCTCACACTTTTCCAGCTGCAGTCAGAGTTGTGTTTGTGTGTCGTGGTTTTAATGGTTTGTACACGTGAAGCATCACTGGACCCACAATCTTCAGTATGCATCGATTTTTTTTTTTACTCTTTGCTGGATTTTGTTCTTTGAATTTTTATATCGCCCCGTTTTGTTTATAAATGTGACGTGAAAATTGTTTTTTCCCTCTCAAATCAGTCTGAATGACAGAAACAAATGATTGCAACATATTCAAGTAATAAATAATGTTTGCCGTTACTTGATTGTCCATTTTCCTCACATATATTCACAGACGTCTCTCGTCCTTTACTCAAACCAGCAGCCACACATCCGTTTGACTGACTGTTGGTCTGAATGATGATGTTGCACCAAAACTGTCGACAAATGTCAAACTCTTCACTTGAACGCAAAACCTTAAGAGGAGACGCAGTCTTGATGCTGCCCTTTGTCCGAGGAGACGCACAGAAACAGACTGCCATGGGTGTTCCAGTATTGTCTCCTCTGCAGCAAAGAACATCAGGCAAAACAATAATAAACCTTTTTGATTTACGTTCTTAAAAATACTCCAGAGCCGCTAAATTAATAATTTACACATGTAATTTATAGCAGATAAAAGGTTGTGGTGCAGAGGTTAGAGAAGGTGAGCCTGTGATCAGAAGGTCACTGGTTCAACTCCTCGGACCGACAACATCAAAATGTGGGTGGGAAACGTGAATCACCCACACCCGTCTCCACCCTCATTTGCCACACTCTGGGCCCTTGAGCAAGGCATTTAACCCCTGTCATCTGCTCCCCTGGACACCCTAGTTGGCAGATCTCTGCTCCACACAGAGGGCTGTGGTAGCTCGGTGGTCTGTGGTTGTATCAGGAAGGACATCCAGCATAAAAACAATTGTCAAGTCTTTGTGCGACTTAGTTTGCTGTGGTGACCCTGAGGAAGGGAGCAGCTGAAAGAAGAAGAAAAAATTATAGCAGTTAAGAGTCAAAAGTAACTAAATGCTAGCAAAATAAAATAAATAAAAAAATCAGAAAATGCTACCTTGGAGCCAGAAGTAGCGAAACATTAGCAAATAGCAGGAAAATGTTAACTCAGTCAAAAGTAGCTAAACACGAGCTAAAAAGGCAAAACAATGCTTAGAACCTGTGACAGCAAGACCTGCAGCCACAAACAAAGGTTGAGGTAATATTTTGTAGATTGTAAATATGCAAAAGTTTAGATAAGTTCAATAACATCATTTATATACTTATGCACAAAGTAGTTTATTTTCACACTTTAGCAACATTTGATATAGTTGTGTATTATATACCCAATAGTTCCTGCACAATTCACCCTCTGTTAAAATGTCTAGACGACATTAAGGCTTCAAATTTTTCAACGATCAGAAAACTGAAGTCATTGTGTTTAGCTCGGACTTTACTGCCGTCTCTGTTCCTGAACACCTTGACTCCCTTGAGCCGTATCTTAAACAGTGTGTTAGAAATCTGGGGATGGTTTAAGACGCTGACTTGAAGTTTAATGAACAGATCAACTCTGTTCTACAACAAAGCTTCTTCCAGTTAAGGCAGATCTTTTGGCTTTTCCCTCTTCAGCGAGTCATCCTCCTCCATCTCTCTCTGTCCTCTGCATCTTCTGTCCTCACTCCAACTACCTCCATGTCCTCTCTAACTGCATCCATATATCTTCTCTTTGTATTTTTCCTGGCAGCTGCATTTCTAACCTCCTTCAGCCAATATTCCCACTGTCCCTCCTCTGGACATGTCCAAACCATCTCAGTTTGGCCTCTCTAACTTTATCTCCCAGTTGTTCAACCTGTGTTGTACCTCTGATAATCTCATTCCTAATCTTATCCATCCTTGTCACTCCTAAGGAGAACCTCAACACCTTTATTTCTGCCACTTCCAGTCCTGTCTCCTGTCTTTTTGTCCATGTCTCTGTCTCCAGGCCATACAACATAGCTGGTCTCACCACTGTCTTGTAAACTTTTCCTTTGACCTTTGCTGACACCCTTTTGTCGCAAATCACCCCTGAAACTTTTCTCCATCCACTCCATCCTGTCTGGACTCGCTTTTTCTCCTCTTTACCACACTCCCTATTTTCCTGGACAGTGGACCCCAAGTACTTGAAGTCCTGCACCTTTGTGACCTCTGCTCCTTGTAGCCTCACTGTTCCACCGGCCTCCCTCTCATTCACACACACGTACTCTGTCTTACTACCAGTGGTGGGATGTAACTAAGTACAAATACTTTGTTACTGTACTTAAGTACATTTTTCATGTATCTGTACTTAAGTAGAGTTAAATGTGGGTACTTTATACTTTTACTCCACTACATTTTACATCAAGTATCTGCACTTTCTACTACACAACATTTCTATAACGCGTTGCATTACAAGTTACATTCATGTTGCGGCTTTTTGATTTGTTTGTTACTTTGAAAGTAACTAACGGTGAGAGGGGAGCTGGTCCAGTGAATCACTACAAAGTGGGCAGGTAATGTTAGACCTGACTTCAAGAAGAGCTGGGCCAATGACATATATTCTAGTATATATGTCATTAAGCTGGGTGCACCCGCAGCATCACTAACACACCTAAAATGTTTTCCACCGCAAGAGAGTCAGCCAGAAGATATGCTCCACCCATGTCCTTATTGAAAGACTGCCCAGTACAGCAGGACAGATTCTCTCTCCTAAAAGAGCCAGACTGGACTCAAAAATCTTTGAAAACAACTTCTGAAATTGAACAAGAAATTCTTGCTGCAATATTAAAATGTGTCAGTTCATGGGATGTTAGGAGACAAGAGGTGTCTCCACATGGCTCGACACTCAGGTCCAAGTTTTAAAAATGGTGTCAGGAAGTTAAAATATTGTTCACTATTGTCCCATTACAAGGTTGAATAGACAGTATTTTAACTAGAGTTGATGACAAACTGGAGTTGAAATGATCAGAGCCTCTTCCTGTTAGTTGTGTCTAATGCTCCTTTTTTCAGACAGACAACTTTTACTTAAATGTGTTTACTGCAGTTAAAATGGCACATTGGTCTTGATTTGTGTTAAATAAAAACTTTCAAAGGTAAAATCATTCCTCTTTTTTATTTTGATTAATGGCATTAAACTCTGCAGGACATCCCTGAAATTCTGACACAGAATCACAAGTCCAAGTGTGAACTGTGTCACAGAGTAAACACAATAAAAACATGAATTATCTGCAGCATCGTTCATTAAAATGACACAACACTATTAATGTATTACAGAAAATATACATATGGTACACATACTTAAAGATATGTAGACCATTGCATTAGGCAATACATTCAGCAAGTACTTTTACTTTTAATACTTTAAATATTTGAAAAGAAAGTACTTTTTTACTTAAGTAAAAATGTTAATGTGGTACTTCTACTTTTACTTGAGTACATTTTTGTCTGTTTATTTGTACTTTTACTTAAGTACAGTGTTTGAATACTTTCTCCACCACTGCTTACTACATCTGACTTTCATTCCTCTTCTTTCAAGTGCATACATCCTCCTCTCCAAGTTCTCTTCCACCTGTTCCCTGTTCTCACCACAGATCACAATGTCATCTGCAAACATCATCATCCACGGGGATTCCTGCCTGACCTCATCAGTTAGTCAGTCCATCACCAGAGCAAACGAGAAGGGGCTCAGAGCCGATCCTTGATGCACTCCCACCTCCACCTTGAAGATGTACTCCTGCAGCACATCTCAGCCACTGTCCTGCTGTCCTCATACATGTACCAGTCTAACATACTTCTCTGCCACTCCAGATTTCCTCATGCAATACCACACCTCCTCCCTCAGCACTCTGTCAAATGTTTTTTCTAAATCCACAAAGACACAATGCAGTTTTTTCTGACCCTCTCTGTACTTCTCCAGCTGTGTTGCTCTTTCTTGACATGAAACCATACTGCTGCTCACAGTCACCTCTCGTCTAAGTCTAGTTCCACAACTCTCTCCCAGATCTTCATTGTGTGACTCATCAACTTAATTCCTCTACAACTCTGTACATCACCCTTGTTCTTAAAAATGGGCACCAGTACACTTCTTTTTCATTCCTAAGGCATTTTCTCACTCAAATATGCCATTGAATATTTGAGTCAAGAACCTCACTGCCATCTCTCCAAGACATTTCCAAACCTCCACTGGTGTCATCAGGTCCTACTGCCTTCTCCTTCTTCATTCTTTTGAGTTAAGACAGATAAAGTGTAAGTCTGTGTTGACTAGATCTAACCTTGAAAAATTAGTCCATGCCTTTATTACTACCCGACTAGAATAATGTAACGCGTTTTGTGTTGGGGTCAGTCGGGTGTTTCTTTCACGTCTCCAGCTCCTCCAAAATTCTGCAACTTGGTTATTAACAGGAACTTGTAGGTTTGATCATATTTCACCAGTTTTGTCCTCCCTTCACTGGCTCCCTGTACATAACAGAATAGATTTTAAAATTCTTTAAGTGCATAAACAGCCTTGCACCGTCATACCTCTCTGACCTACTTCAGCCTTATGTTCCTTCTCAGGCACCGAGATCATCTGACCAGCTGCTTTTGGTTGCACCAGAAACCAGTTTGAAGCTCAGAGGAGATCGGGCTTTTTCAGTCATGGACCCAAAACTTTGGAAAAATCTGCCCCCCAACATTTAACAGCCACTTCACTCCCTGCTTTTAAATCTTTCAAAAAAACAAAACAAACAAAAAAAACCCACACCTGTTTTCACTGACGTTTAACACAATTTGATCTGATTTAATGTTTTATTGTTTTGTGTTTTATGTTTATTTATACTTTTTTCTTTAAATTACTCTGATTTTTGTTGTTAAACACGCTGGTAACAGCTGCTGCTTTTAAATTTGCTTCATAAATAAATTAGAGTGACAATCCTCTCATTTTTAAACAGGGTTAATGATTTGCAAAGAAAAGTCCAGAAACTTGGTCCAATCAGGAAACTGTTCTGATGTGTTGGAACACCAAGCCGAGTCC